AAAATTCATCCAAGTATATCCATAAAAGTCATTTATAACCAGATAGACATACATTTTCCCTCCCAAGCTTTTTATCTACATTGGTCCCATTAAGTTCATATGAAGAAGTTCCAGTACTTTGAAAGTAGTCTAATGTTGCAACATTGGGTGTGACATCATGGTTTTCTTTCTAATTTCATACTCACTATAAACTTTACCTTCTTCAACTTTGAGACATGGTATTCCCTTAATAGCTTCTTCAAATAAAATCTCCATCATTCCTTTTATATTAAAATTTCCAAATTTCTGGTGCTATATCTTACTTCATTCTCATTGGCTATTGAACATGTGGAAGAGTAAGCAATTATTTGAGATTCCTACAAATAGAAGCTGTCTTTAGACCTTATTCCCTTCATCACAACATCATCTTTCTGATCTTTGACCAAACATTTAGATTTTGAGAAATTGACTAATAGACCTTGGTCACACAATTGACTAATGCTAATGAGATTAGTAGTTAATCCTCTCACATAAAGAACATCTTCTAAACTAGGATAACCAACACACATAAAATTTCCAACTCATTTGATTTCACCTTTAAACCCATAACCAAATATTATAGAACATGTGGGATGAGGCATGATATTCACCAAAAACTTCTGAATCCATTTCATGTATCTATAGCAGCCACTGTCAAAATACCAGTCTTCTCCATTTGATTCTCTTAAGGAAGTATGAGCAATAAAGTTCATATCCCTATTTTCAACATTTCTTTTTTTTGCCTACTTAATCATCCTTAGAATAAATTGAAGATTTTTTATATCCATACAGTTTATAACAAAAAGGCTTAATATGGCCATGCAAACCACAATAATGACATATCCAAGTGGATGATTGAAATAAGGATAAAGTTTTATCATGTCTTCCAGGATGTTGTAACATGTTGTTAAACGTGTTGATCATTCTCTTACTTATAAAAGAAAAGGAATTCTTCTCAGACACTCTTCTTTGTTTATTATCATACTGATAATCAACTTATGTATCTCCATCCTCTTTCATCATATCAACTCTACTATTTATCTTCTTCAAAGAATTTGACATGTTATTAAGATGGGAATTTAAGAGAGTTTCCTCACTTTGAAGATGTGCAACAAAATATACAAGTTTCTTCTTTTCATTCTCTAATTCATCTATGATCTTCCTCTATTCTTCTATTGTCTTAATACTTTCTTCACACATGTCACACACGTCCTCAAGATCTTCATAGAGGATACTTTCATAATAATCTTCCACTTCATCTCTCCATCTCCTAGAAAGGGCCATTACCAGTTTTGCAGTTTCATTGTTAGCCTCTTCTTTTGACTCATCATCATCATACCGAGATACAATGAAGTAATTTTTCCTTATTGAAAAAGTTTGGACATTCTTGTTTAATATGACCAAAACCTTCACACTCATAACATTGAATTCCTTTACTTTGATTGGACTTGTCCTCAGATCTATCATTTTTCTGAAACTCCTCATTTTCCTGATGTCAAATGAGATGTTCTGACATTCGGTCTTCCTATTGTATCCATTATCTTCATAATTCTATTGAATTGTCTCCCAAGTAATACAACGATATTGGACAGCCTCTTATCAGAATCAAGACCAACTTGGCCTTCTTCATCTTCAACATTGGAAACAAAAGCTATGCTCTTGTTCTTTTTCTCATACTTGTCACTAATAGCCAACTCAAAAGTTTGAAGTGAGCCAACAAGTTCATCAACCCTCATGTTGCTGATATCATGAGACTCTTCAATGGTTGTCACCTTCATGTTAAATTTCCTAGGTAGATACCTAAGAATATTTCTACCAAGTTTGTCTTCTGGCATCTTTTCTCCCAAAGCACTAGATGCATTAGCTATTTCAAGAATCTTCATATCATATTCCTGAATAGTCTCATCATCATTCATCTTTAGATTCTCAAATTTAGAAGTGAGAAGCTAAAGTCTTGACATTTTAACTTTGTATGTACCTTCATGAGTTTTTTTGAGAATTTCCCAAGCATCCTTGGCTATAGTACATGTGTTAATCAACCTGAACACATTCTTGTCAACTCATCGAATAAAGAATTTAAGGAATTTGAATTTCCAAGGGTTAATTTATCATCCTCATCATTCCAATCTTCCTCTGGATTTAATGACACATTCCCATCTTTGTTTGTATTAACAGGATGTTCCCATCCTTTCAAAACAGACTTCCAAGCTTTGTTGTCCATGGACTTCAAAAATCCACCATTCTAACTTTCCATCAATCATAATTGGGACCATATAACAGAGGTGATATGTAGTTGTATCCTTCTTCTTTATCCATAGTACCAAAAAATATTCTCCCTGGAGCTCACCTAATAACCAGAACATGGTGTCTGCTCTAATGCAAATTGAAATTTGGATCTTGCAATACAAAGGTCAAAACTGATGTTTTAACACAGAAATATGATGTCAGGATAGATGTTATGACACCTGTTGACAGAAAACCACAAATTATGCAGAAAAATAAATTGTTGAAATTAAACAACACAATCAATTGTTAACCCAGTTCGGTGCAACGTCGCCTACTCTGGGGGCTACCAAGCCAGGAAGAAAATTCACTATGATAGTATTATTTCAAAGCCTAAACAGTCCCAATTTACAAGTTCTCGCCTAATCACTACCTTGTGCAACTTCTACTTAGGAACTTCTTAGATATGAGAACCCTCTCTCACTTTCAATCATCGCAGTGATACATACAACCATAAACCTTGTGACTAGACTTAAAAACCCAACAGAAGATTACACTTCAAATAAACAATACTTACGTTTGCTTAAAATCTTGAACTAAGAACAATACTTAACTCTTTGCTTAAAAGCTCATGATTGAGAATAATAACATGATAAAATCAAGTAATAATAAGTCAAACTCAATGCATCAAAAGATACACGAGTAACATACAAAGAGCACAAACACTAAAAACTTAAAAGACTCCCAAAATCCTAATCCTTGTGATGCACCCACGGTTTATTCAATGTGAATACTTTCTATTTTAGGTCATCGCAAGTCCTTATTTATAGACTCTTGCGGTATGAGCTTGGACTCTTCAAATCAGATCTAATCTTCACTTTATAAATCAGCTGCATGATCTTTACATTAAAATACGAACAAATCTTCAAAGTTTCCTAAAAGGTTTCAAAGATCCTTTTTTATGAAATCCAATTAAATATTCACTTTGTTCCTAAGTAATCTCATTGATCTGTGCATAATGATGAGCTATACACAAAATTATCTCATCAAATCAAATCAAATATGTCAAGAGATATAAAATAGCAGTGCCTGCTATACATCAACCAATATGTCATGACACCTGTCTTCGACATCTGTCTAAAACACATAACAGTAAAACTATTATGATAGTTGATGATGATGTTATAACATCTTGCTCAACATCAGTATAAAACCATGTTTTATCAAAATTCAGTCAATAATAAAACCATGGAACTAACAATTGTGTAATATGTAAGATAATTTTTTGGACCGTTTTTGAGTGGTTGAGTTCAAAATTAGAAGCTTACATAGGGCACTTTTACTTGTTATATTTGTATTTTGATTATGGATTCTAATTGAATTAGTATATGACATTTTAAATGAATTACATATTTAATTGAATAATAATTATACATACTTGATATAAATGACCTAAAATATAGAACTTTTAAAAAGTGTCAAATTTATTGTCTTGAAGATTAGTTCAAAAGCATATTTCTGAATTATTTATTGAATTATGAAATAAGAGTTCAAAATTCTATACAAAAGTTATTACTGAAGTACACGTACACATTCATCTTTCCATTTAAAAAGAAAAACACTTTCAGACTAACTTTTACCAAAATGAAATAGATGATTCATTTTCAAAGAGATGTGATGTATTTTAGGTGCATAAAAAAACATATTTTTAAAGAAGGACAATTTTAAGTTTTATAATGACGGCTCTTCATGGGTAAGAGTCTAAGAGCAACCCCCAAAAATTTGTATTGAATTAAGAATACATTGAATTTTCATGCACTTAAAACTAAAATGAACTCAAATTATTATTATTATTATTATTATTATTATTATTATTATTATTATTATTATTATTATTTTCTAAAAATTTTAGTAAATTTCTTTGTTGTGTTTGCCAGCTGTAATTAATTGTATGAAAAAATAGTACCATTGGAGTTTGTCAGTTTGGCGAAAGTTGCAATGCATTATTATCGTATAATTGAATAAAATATTAATAAAATTTCATATAATCAATTTGGTTTGTTTTTTCTTCTTCTTTTATATATCACGTATAGTTTTTTTCTATAATATTAATAAAATTATAGTTTCTTTCTTTTATAAAATTACATGTTTTTTTATTTGAAATTAATTTTAATTATTATTTTAAATTTGAATTTGATTAATTTAAATTTGACTAATTTATGTGATGCTATTTATTTTTATTGTTTTTAATTTTATATTATATATTTGAAATTAATTTTAATTATTATTTTAAATTATAAATTTAATTTGAATTTTATTTATTTTATATCAATTTTAATTTAAATAATTAAATTTATTATTTTAATTGATATAAAATTTAATATAAATAAAATATTAATATATAAAATAAAGTTGTGTGAAAAATTAGTTAAATTATTTCATGCTGACGTGGCTTAATAGACTTTGAAAAAAACTCAAAAATAAATTCACCTGTTGAAGGTGATTGACGTCGGCTGAGAGGAGCGAAATAATAAGTGTTAGTCATATACAGCCAATCAGGTTCAATTACTATTTAAAACCTTTATTATAATCTTAAAATCTTCCTCAATTGTTCATGTGAAAGCGGATCGAATACGACAACTTCGTCAAGTCGATTCAACAAAAAAAAAACAAAATTGCATTTCACTAAAACAGTTTCCCAGCATTTATTAATAAAACAATAGACTCGTCTATTTTTCGGATGCTCTTATTCTTCAACAATGACTTTCTTTTTGTTCTTCCCTCTCTTTTTACTCCTTCCTTTTTTCTTTGATTCGTTTTCTCAGGGAGCCACTCTTCACGAAGATGAAGGTACATACATATCTGATGCCATATGATGTATTATCCATATCGCATGATTCTGCTGTTCTAATCTTTCGTTTAATCATTTCAGTGAAAGCTTTGATAGACATAGGTAAAACACTTGGGAAGAAAGATTGGAACTTCAGTGTAGATCCATGTAGTGGAAGGAACAACTGGATATCGCCAACTCAACTACAAGGCTCTGAGAATGCTGTTACCTGCAATTGCACTTTTCAAAATAACACTCTATGCCATGTCGTTAGCGTGTACGCCTACTCTTCCTCTTTTCTTATCTATTTTTTTAACGTCTTGTGCTGTCTGCAATAATGCTAGAGAGAGAGAGATACCAGTAGTTTAATTAATATTCATGCTGATGCTAACTACGTAACCACCAACCAAGAATGGTTTTGGATTTATCTATGGGCAACCAGTGCATAGTTGAGAGTATCCTCAAAATAGATGAATTAAGTTTAATCATTCTCTCTTTCACTTTGGGTTATATTGTCCGGTTTAGACTTTCCATGGTCTATTTTGTCTCTACCCTATATTTTTTTTCCATGTACAAGTCTTCTCACTTTAAAAATATTTTACACATACATCAATGAATCACATCTTACCAAACCATTTTGACTAGTCATAAAATATTTCTACAAGCTACCGACTTAACTTCTCTAAAAATTTAATATTCCTTCAGTTTTATATTATTTATTACAATTAAACATTTTACACAAATTAAAAAATAATAATAAATAAATAAATAATATATAAATTTTATCAGATTATTTTAATTAATTATTGATAGATTCGAATTAATATTAATATTAATATTAAATAAATAATAAATTAATATTAAAAATATAATTAAAAAATTAAATATAAAATCACATTGATAATTAAAGTGAAGAATACTTTTTTTTTAAATGTGATACTTATTTTGAATGGATAGTCATTAATATCTATGAACGACAATTGATTAATTAATTGAAATATTTGATATCATAACACTTTTAATAATTGATAAATATAAAATAAAATAAAATGATTTTCTTTAATTAATAACTTAATGATTATAATTTTGTATATTGTTTTTATTAAATTAACTTTTATTTAAAATTACATAAACATATGTAAATAATTTTAAATATTTATATAATATAATATTAAAATGTATTCAAATTTTATCGAATAGATGAAGAATATAAATGAGCAGTGATAGAGAGCGGAGCTATTTTTTTTGTTTTAATATGATTTTTTGTAGTAAAGAAAGATATATTAGAAACAAAACAAAACATAGATGTAAAGGTGATTTGGCCAAAACTCTCTAAGTGATTAACAAATTTATAACTAGGTAGTACTAATTTGTTGTGAACAATTAAAGAAACAAGGTTCCAAGGCGGCTTATTCCAAAACAAAGATAAAGAAGAATTGAGAGCTGAAGAGCCTAATAAATTCACACATTGGTTCCCCTCCTTAAAGATATGAGAAATATAAAATCTTAAATGTTCAATCTTGACTAAACAATTGAACCATTTACTGCTAATGTTCCAAAGAACAACCTATGCCAACAAAATAAAAGATGAATCTGTCTCCAGCCAAACACAGTTCCACATAAAGAGAGTAGCAATGTCAATTACCTTGATCACCCCAAGCAGCTCCGCATGAATAGAAGAATTACAATTCAATTTTTCAGCAAACTCGTAAACAAAATCACCAAAAGAGTTTTTAAATATACCAGTGCAGGAAGTTAAGGAAGTTGTTATGAAAAAGAGGCCTTGGAAATAAATTATAAACAATTTCTCTATGATCAAGAAACACACGAGGGTAGAAAAAATAGAAAAACAAAAAGATCGCAAGAAATTGGTTATTAACTGTTATTCTTTACTTTCTCTTTAAACAAGATTACAAGTACACAAGAGTAACAAATAACTCTCTCACTCTAAATTAGAATTTGTTGTATGCAATGATAAGAGACTAGTATGCTATTTATAATAAACCTAACATACTAAACTAATGGGCTTTTTCACAAATATCCATTACAAGCTAACTTATGGTACAAGCTAACTTAAACAATTGAACATAACAAACATGCTCAATTCGAAATACTAACAACCCTAGTATTCTGACACCCACATTCTAGAACACACTTCTACTATAGTATGTAGGTCTTCGACACCAAAGAACATACTTCGCGACATGTATAAATCTTGTCAAACCAGAAGCTACTCTTCGACCCAATAGAGTTCGATCCAATATCTCACAAATCTCCACCTTGAAACAAACTCTAATATCAAAGAACAAACTAACTTTCTTCATGCAACTTTATCAACTGCATACAGTGGAAAAACTTGCAACTGAGCAATGTCTTGGTGACCATATCAGCAGCATTGTGATCTGTCGAAACCTTCAGTACTTGGACTTCTCCACACTCGATTACCCCTCAGACGAAATGCAGCCTCACATCAATGCGTTTGGTTCACTCATGATAAACTGAGTTCTTCGACATGTGTATTGCACTTTGACTATCACATTTAATAGTGATAACTTGACCTTTAAGTTTCAGCTCCTTAGCAAAATCAGCCACAATGCTTCTTTCACAACTTCAGTTAAGGCAATATATTCTGCCTCAATGGTTGATAATGCGACAAACTTATGAAGTGTTGCTTTCCAACTAATTGTTGTACCAAATATAGTGAAAACGTGTCCACAAATAGATTTTATGGAATCCATATAACTTGCATAATCAGAGTCGACATGCCCTTCGATTACTGCTTTACTATCTTCACCCAAGGCTCCACCATAAATTAAGACTCTGTTCAGAGACTGATTTATCTATCTTAGAATCCACTTCAATGCTTGCCAGTGAGTCTTTTCAGGATTCGCCATGTACCTGCTTACAAGACTTACTGCATATGCTATATCGGGTATAGTACAGACCATAACATACATCAAAGAATCCACTATGTTAGCATATGAGATGTTATTCATATAAACTCTTTCTTTCTCAATATTGGGACACTGATCTATACTCAGCTTGAATTGAGGGTTTGTCGGAGTCACAACAGGCTTTGAATTTGACATACCAAACTTATCGAGAATCTTCCGTAGGTATGTCTCTTAAGATAAGCATAATTTCGACTGCCTTCTATCTCTTTGGATGTCAATCTCAAAAGTCCTAGATGCAGCTCCTAGATCCTTCATATTGAACTCCTTATTGAGTTCAACCTTTACCCCCATTATATCTTCGACACTGTTGCTTGCTATGAGAATATCATCCACATAAAAGCAACAAAATAACAAATGAATTACCAGGTAGAAATCTGAAGTAAACACAGTGGTCGAACTGACTTCTAATGAAATTTATGCGTGCCATGAACTTGTCGAATCTCCTATTCCACTGTCGAGGAGATTGTTTCAACCCATATAAAGATCTATTCAACTTGTAGACATAATCTTCCTTTCCCTTTTCTATATACCCTTCAGGTTGTCTCATCAGGATTGTTTCATCTAGATCACTATGCAAGAACGCAATCTTCGCATCCATTTATTTCAGTTCAAGGTCGAATTGTGCCACCATGGCAAGCAACATTTGAATGGACATGTGCTTCACAACAGGAGAAAACAAATCATTGAAGTCGACACCTTCTTTCTGAGTGAAACCCCTTGCAACCAACCTTGTCTTGTATCTTTTTGATGCCACTTCTTTGATTCCTTCCTTAACTTTGAAAATCCACTTACATCTGACTAACCTGGCTCCAACAAGTTTCTTGATCAGTTCCCAAGTGTTGTTATCATGAAGAGATTTCATCTTATCATCCATGGCCTTCAGCCATTCAGTCTTATTTCGACTCCTCATAACTTCCTTATGGTGTTCTTTGTCAAGAACCTCACTTATAGAGATTAAGGCATAAGTTATAAGATCTGCATACCTAAGTCTCTGAGGTGGATTGATGACTCTTCTCGTCCTATCTCTTACCAATAGGTAGTCATCAACAGTTTCCTCAACTTCCTTAGCATCTTCTACTTCTTCTTCGACTTCATCTGGATATGCAATTCAGCATCAACATGCTCCACCTCAACATGAATCTCTACTTGTTCCAGCTCTTCGTCAGATATTTCTGCACTTCGACCAACATCATCAATTTTCTTGAAAGTCTTTTCAGCTTCATTGAAAACTACATCTCGACTGGTGATACTCCTCTTGTGACCTGACTCTAGGCACCATATCCTATAAGCTTTGACTCCCACAGGGTATCCCATGAACATGCATTTCAGAGCTCTAGGTTCGACCTTGTCTCGCCTAATGTGAGCATAGGCTACGCAACCAAATACTCTCAGTTTGTCAAGATCTGGTGGATGTCCCGACCAAGCTTCTTCAGGTGCCTTCATATCTAACGCAGTCGAAGGACACCTGTTTATCATATATGTTGCTGTCTGAACAGCCTCAGCCAAAAACACCTTCTTTAACTAAACACTAGTTAACATGCATCTAACTCTCTCCAAAATAGTTCGATACCTACAGTAGTTATGTGCCTTGCAATACTAGAGACAACACAAAAACAATCAAAAGTCTCATTGCAAAATTCAAGGTCATTGTTGGTTCTTAACCTCTTGACCTTTCTGCAAGTTTGATTTTCGACCAGAGTCTTCTAACTTTTGAAATTCTCAAAAGTTTCATCCTTAGTCTTCTGGATGAATACTCATAACTTTTTGGAATAATCATCTATTATAGATAGAAAATACTTTGCTCCTGAATGTGATGGACACCTTGTAGGCCCCCAAAGATCAGCATGGATGTAATCAAGGGATCCATGTGTTATTTGTTTACTTTTGTTGAACTTCACTCTGCAAGATTTTCCAAGTACACAAGGTTCACAAAAATTCAGCTTTTCGACTTTGTCTCCTCCAAACAAGTTTTGTTTCCCCAATTCGATCATACCCCTTTCACTGGCATGACCCAATCTCATGTGCCAAATTTCTGTCTTTGAAAAAGTTTCGTGGATGCAACATTTATCGAACCACTTACAACTTCAGTCTCAAGGGTATGCAAGCCTTGTTTCTTCACGTCTCTCAAGACTTCCTTCAACCCCTTCATGACTCTTAGGATACTTTTATCTCCTTGGAAAACATATCCTTTCTTATCAAATTCACCAAGAGAAATCAAATTTCTCTTTAAATCTGGTACATACCTGACTTCAGTCAACAATCTTATTGACTCGTCATGGAGCTTGAATCTCACAGATCCAACACCTGCAATCTTGCAAGCTTTGTTGTTTTCCAGCAATACAGATCACCATTTTGACCACATAATTCTTCGAACAAGTCTTTGTTTGGAGTCATGTGCCAAGTGCAACCTGAACCCATAATCCACTCCTTACTTGAGTCGCTGCTTGAAACTACAAGAACATCAAACGAGTCGAAATCATCTTGAACAGTGGCTGCATTGCCATTATCCTTACCTCTATGATCTTTCATGCGTTTAGAGCACACCTTTCTTGTGTGATCCTCCTTCTTACAATGATATCATCGAATACCAGATGCTTCACCACTGTAAGACTTATGCTTACTTTTACCTTTCTTCTTGTCGATCTTACCATCCTTTCGCAAGAATTTTTCTTTAACGGCCATACCTTCACCAAATGTCGAAGGTTTATGCTCCTTTCGTTCATTCAAGTCCTTAGAATACAAGGCTGATTGAACTTCTTCAAAGGTCAGGGACTCCCTTCCATACAAGAGAGTTTCTTTGAAGTGAGCATGTGTTCTGGACAAAGCGCACAATAGTAACAACGCTTGATCTTCATCATTAATCTTCACATCAATATTTTCAAGATCAAGAATCAGCTTGTTGAACATATCCAATTGCTCAGCCAACACTTTATCTTCAATCATCTTGAATGAATACAAAACTTCCTTCAGGTAAAGTCGATTTACCAGCGATTTGGTCGTGTACAAACTTTCAAGTTTTACCCATAACCTTGATGCTATTGTCTCCTTTGATACTTGTCGAAGAACCTTATCACCAAGGCTTAACAAGATTGCACTACGGGTTTTCTCTATCATGGTCGTCTTTTCTTTTTCCGTTAATGCAACATCCATAGCCGCCGCTCCCTTCAACGTTTCCAAACAACCCTCCTGAACCAGTAGAGCTTTCATATTCAAGTGCCACAGACCGAAATCATTCACTCTGGTGAGCTTTTCAATCTCATACTTTGTTGAAGACATCTTCTCCACATTCATCACACCATTTTGTTATGAAAACAATGCCTTGAAAACAAAGTATAAACGATTTCTCTATGATCAAGAAACACACGTGGGTAGAAAAACAAGAAAAACACAAGGAATTGGTTATTAACTGCTATTCTTTACTTTCTCTTTAAACAAGATTACAAGTACACAAGAATAGCAAATAACTCTCTCACCCTAAATTAGGATTTGGTGTATGCAATGATGAGAGACTAGTATACTATTTATAATAAACCTAACATACTAAACTAATGGTCTTTTCACAAATACCCATTACAAGTTAACTTAGGGTACAAGCTAACTTAAACAATTGGACATAACAAACATGTCCAATTCGAAATACTAACAACCCTAGCATTCTGACACCCACATACTAGAACACACTTCGACTACAGTATGTAGGTCTTCGACACCAGCATGTGAACATACTTCAACGGCATGCGTAAATACTGTCGAACCAGAAACTACTCTTCGACCCAATAGAGTTCGATCCAATATCTCACAGAAGTGGAGTACGATTTATCGGTGTTACACTTTAAGTAACCAATCGACAGAGGCTGCCAAATAACTTCAATGATTTTAGGGGCCTTTGGCGGATGCATTTTGACATTAAATGTCTTAATGATAGTGAACTCATGAATTCAAGAATTAGCCATCTTGTTAGTAAGATTTCCAATGAAAGCTACCTCGATAAGAACATGGTTGAGAGCCTTCTTCCAATGTCAAAAACCATTGCAAAATCTGACATGGTTGCGGGCCAACCAAATGCAATTGAAAATGTGAACAATTGAGGCTTGGAGGATAACTCTGTACTGATGGCTCCAATTCTTGTCACAAATCTCCACAATACTCAATATGTTTGACACCTTAGGGAGCTTTATCATACTGCAGAGCCATTGCCAAAGATGAGAAGCACATGGGCAAAAGAAGAAAAGATGCTCAGAAGATTCCTGCTGCAAGTTGCATAGATTGCACATCGAGGGAAGAGAGAAGCCTCTCAAGACTAGATTTTCATCCGTTGGCAACCTATCCTGGAAAATTCTCCAAACCATGAAATCCTTTGAAGGAGGAATATCAGAATTCCAAAGATGCTTAGCCCAAGAGTGACAGGAGGTGGTGAGTGACTTGAAGTTGAAAGCATCTTTTAAGGTTAGCTCACCAGAGCTAGAGTGAATCCAGGCCTTACTGTCATCAATATTTTCCATAGGAACAGTAACTTGAGCAGCAAGCAAAGCCAAATTAGACACTTTATTGATCACATGATCATGAAAGTCCCAAAATTCAAGGCTAAAAAATTCAGAGAGAAGGGTGTGAGTGCTGATATCCATTTGATCTTGAATGAAGTTCACAAGGGGAGGTCCACACCAAGAATCAAGCCAAAAGTTTGTGTTGCAATCATTATCCAAGACTACTCTAATATTCAAAGTAACACAGTCCAACTCACTTTTTATGTTATTCTAAATTGAAGAAACAATATGGTGCTTGATTGGAATTCCATCTCTAAAAACTCTAGCTTTAACAAGAGAGCCCAAGATTGCTTTTAACAAGAGAGCATAAGATTCAGTGGAGTTTGAGTTGGAATTATAAAAAAAAAAACATAGGAAGGTGGAGTAAAAATGACGGAGAAAAAAAAGAAGAAAATTGGAGTAAGATATTCATAATTTGATTTTTTTTTCCTACTAATACATTTAAAATATATGTTTTTTATTTTGAATTAAACTATTATAAATTGTAAAAGAACAAAATGAGTTTTAATTAGAATAATAAAGATAAAAATGGAAAAAAAATGACAATCTAAAACATATTTCAAATAGCTTTTTAAAAAAAAAATTGTAAATTAAAAAAAATTATAACTTACAAACTAAAAATCAGTTATAAACTTATAGAATATAGTGTTGAAAAACTAAAATGTGTTTGTTTGTAGTTTATTTTTTTTAAGTTGGTTAAAAAATACTTTTTATACTGAATGTGTGTATATTAACTAAACTAATTCATTTTAAGTTTTGACCTCTAACAACATTAATGGTGTAATGGACTTACAGTGTTCTAAAAGCACAAAACCTTTCTGGTACTCTTCCACCTGATCTTGTGAGGTTGCCTTTTCTCCAAGAAATGTATGTTCAACTCAAAAAACTTACACTCTCACTTTTAAAGTATAAAGTTTTTGTTAACTTTTATTGTATTGATGATTTCTTATTTGTTTTTTGGTACAGTGACCTAACCCTCAACTATCTTAATGGTACAATTCCTAAAGAATGGGCCACATTAAGTCTTGTAAACATGTAATACATATGCTTCTTTCTCTCTTATGCTTGTTCTTTATTTTTTCCAAGTCATGTATGTATGCTTATCATGACAAATTTTACAATTTTTCTTTTGGTTAAGTTCCTTCTATGGAAATCGTCTATCTGGTCCAATTCCAAAGGAGTTTGGAGACATCACCACTCTCAAAAGCTTGTAAGTTTCTTGTTTAAGAGCTTGTTTGATTTCAATTATTTTGAATTTTGAGAAACTTTATTTTCGACGGATAGGGTATTGGAATTCAACCAACTATCAGGAAATCTTCCTCCAGAACTTGGGAGTCTTAGCCAGATTGAAAGACTGTAAGCCTTTCATATGTTTTTTTTTCAAGACACACTGATTTGGTGATCTTTAATAGCAGTGATTGATATTGGATGCATTTTATTCACCTGCTGCAGGCTTCTTTCCTCCAACAATTTCACTGGAGTGTTACCTGCAACATTTGCTAGGCTCACCGCATTGAAGCAATTGTAAGTATTTTACTTTCATTATTGCTTGATTTCATTGCTATGTAGCACTAACACTTTAGGTTGAAAGCGTGTCTACGTATTGCTAGATTCCAATGCCTAGGTGTGATTGTTGGTGTTTGTGTCTATGATAATGCTTTATAGCTTCATGGTTATATATTTCATGTTCATAAATACCGCTATTTGTTTCTTACTGCAGTCGAATTGGTGACAGTCAATTCTCTGGAGCAATACCCAACTTTATACAGAGTTGGAAAAATCTTGAGATGCTGTCTGATTCTCTTTCTCTTCTCTTGTCACAAATTTTAGAGTCTTTATTATTGTCATTTTGTTTGAAACTATTTTCCCCTCATAAATGTTTTTCACAGCGTGATCCGAGGGAGTGGTTTGAGCGGGCCAATTCCTTCTGGAATTTCACTTTTGAAAAATCTCAGTGACTTGTAAGTATGACGCATCCACACACTGCACAAACAAATGATCTGAAGATTTCTTTTTTATTGTAAAATTAACTAAGCTTATAATGTGATGCCCAGGACTATTACTGACTTGAATGGATCTGATTCACCTTTTCCACAACTTGAAAATATGTCAAAGCTATCAAAATTGTAAGTTAATTACTCTCGTTATCTTTAATATTATTCATATCACTGATTTAATATCTTCAACAAGGCATTGTTTTAATGTCTTATCATAAAACAAACTAAGAAGAAATTGTGGCGAAATATTTATATATGGTCTAATTGGTTTCAGAATATTGAGAAGTTGCAATATCATTGGAGCAGTGCCTGATTATCTTGGAAAGTTAACTAAACTGAAAGCGATGTAAGTGATGTTATACTTCTTTCCATTTTTGTTTGATTGATCGAATGATAACTTTCACATTTTCTTTCAGGCTTTTTAAACACGTTTAAGATGAAAAAAAAACGCTCATATAAGAACTTATATTCTGTATCTTTGCTTTTTATACTGTTGATTTAATAAAGGCCTATGACACATGATTCTTTTGTTCACCACAGAATAGGGAACTATTCTTTATGTTAAATTCTATATTTACTCTTTCTCTGAAGAGAACTTATTCTGAATATCCTTTTTCAGAGACCTCAGCAACAACAAATTAAGTGGACAAATCCCCACGGGCTTCGGGGGTCTACAGAACATGTACATGCTGTAAGAATTTTGCCGCTGCTTCATCTATCATAACTTAAAAATGTAGATGAATAATGTAGATGAAAGATACATTTTATTCTAGAAACTGGAAACTGAAATGTTTTTGTTCATTGCTTTCGTTAGTAGACTAAAATAAAAACTAGTGCCGCCAAAATCTTGTAAGTTGATGTGAGTCATTTTGGAACTGTTCAATAACTGGGATAATGTTTACTATCTTATCAACTATTTTTGCTGTTAGACAATAATTTGAATGCTATTTATTAACTTTTTGATGTTAACTTAACTAGATTTTTATCTGGGAATCAGCTGTCTGGACTGCTGCCTGACTGGATAGTTAAACCCGACTTTGTGTAAGTTGTCTCTTTATGCTACTTGCTAAAATGTGAAATTGCATAAGCCGTCAATATTAAATATCACATTATAGTATGGAATGAGCTATCAATTGTACCATGAAGTTGATCAATTGCTTCATCATCTAAGATTCTGACAGATATTGTATATCTTTATGCAGAGATCTGTCGTATAACAACTTCACTATAGCAAACTTTGAGCAGCAAACTTGTCAACAAGGAAGTGTGTAAGAGTCCTAGCACTGTGTTTTTTTCATTTTTCTTTTAACTTCATGGTTTTCTTGTTTTGTATTTTCATGAATCGACCTGATTCTCAGCCTATTTCCTTATGCCACAGAAACTTGTTTGCGTCTTCTTTGACGGGAAACAGCTTGTAAGTTTTTATTTCTCTCGTAATATAAATAATTACCTATTTAGTTGTATATCACTTGTATATGTTACTGAGTGCTAACCTGTCTTCCGCTTCCATTGTTTATCTTCTCAGAGGAAATGTTTCATGTTTGGAAAACTATCAATGTCCTAAAAGTGAGTTTACTTTTCATGGATTTCCTATATATTTTTGGCCATTATTTTTATGTTAAGTACAAGAGAAAATACCAATTATCTATTTCTTCTAGAAGTTGATAACCTATTTCTTCTTTTTCAAGCTTGGTACTCTCTCTACATAAACTGTGGTGGGAAGAGCATAACATATGATGGAAATAAGACATATGATGATGATTCAGCTGAGATGGAATCAGGAAGATATCGTCAAATTGGAACAAACTGGGCACTTATAACTGCTGGTCACTTTTTTGATAGTGGACGGTCGGACTACTACATATGGTCTAATGCAACAAAGCTTGCCGTCGACAATGGTACTGAACTGTACATGGATGCACGTGTTTCTCCAAATTCTCTTACTTATTATGCATTCTGCATTGGAAATGGAAACTACACTGTGAATCTCCATTTTGCTGAAATAATGTTCAGTGATGATAAAACATTTAGCAGCATTGGAAGACGTGTATTTGACATCTACATCCAGGTGCATGTTTTTTCATTTTATTTTTACCACATGTACTAATCACATGATATGAACCAATTTTTCTTAAAACTAAATTAGAAAAAATAAAATTCAATTCATTCGATACTGTGCATTTGAAGAATTTATATATGGCAGAGAAATTTGGTGTTGAAGGATTTCGATATTGCAAAAGAGGCAGGTGGTGTTGGCAAGGCAGTCATTAAAACTTTTACTGCTGGTGTGACTAGAAATGCATTGGAGATTCGCTTAGATTGGGCTGGGAAAGGAACAACTACTATCCCATTTGGATCAGTATATGGTCCTCTTATATCAGCTATATCAGTTGATCCTGGTTAGTTGTGTTTTCCATGATTTAATATTGTGTTCAATCACCTTTGTTGTTTGCATAAAATCTATAATGCACCTATTAATTGTGCAGATTTTACACCCCCGTCGGAAAATAATAAAAACATGCCTGTAGGAGCTGTGGTTGCCATTGTGGCTGCGGGAGCAATTGTTATCATCTTTGTAATTGGCATAATGTGGTGGAAGGGCTGTTTAACACAGAAATGTTTAGGGGCAAGAGGTAATCACTGAGAAACTACTTCAACTATCCTGATTACCATCCTTTTTGAATAAACACTTAACTAACTTCCCTTGAGGAAAGTAATAGGAATTAGATGATGAACTCAGTGAAACCATATATTTCTAATTATTGATGATTTTCCATAGACACCTCTGATATTGTTTGCTTTTATTGTCAGAGCAAAAGGGCCATGCTTCACAAACTGGCTTATACAGTTTACAGAAAATCAAAGCAGCAACAAACAACTTTGATGAATCCTTTAAGATTGGAGAAGGAGGATTTGGTCCTGTTTACAAGGTATATTTTGCACAATTTGATATTATTATTATTATTATTCAATCTACATGTGGTCCTGTTGGTTAATCATAAGTTTTATACTGTTCCTCAAAATGCAGGGTGTTCTACAAGATAGCACAATTGTAGCGATTAAGCAGCTATCTTCAAAATCAACTCAAGGATCTCGTGAATTTATTAATGAGATAGGCATGATTTCTACTTTACAACACCCTAATCTTGTTAAGCTCTATGGCTTCTGTATGGAAGACGATCAGTTGTTGTTGATATATGAATACATGGAAAACAATAGCCTTGCTCATGCTTTATTTGGTAATTATTTAATTACTGTATCTTTAATCAGTTATAATCTTGAACATTTAACATATATGTTTATGAATAAAATGATACTGTTGTCTAATTTCTGTCAGTCAAGAAAGAAGACATAGAAAATCGTCAATTGAGATTGGAATGGAAAACTAGGAAGAGAATTTGTATTGGTATTGCTAAAGGTTTAGCTTACCTGCATGGAGAGACTAAAATAAAGATCATTCATAGGGACATCAAGGCCACTAATGTATTGCTAGATAAAGACCTCAACCCCAAAATATCTGATTTTGGTTTGGCAAAGCTCAACGAAGATGACAAAACCCACATGAACACCAGAATAGCTGGCACTTAGTGAGTTCCCATACTTGATTCTCTCTGGTTATGAACTTTATTGAGTTTCCATACTTTGAAGAAGCCAAAGAGTAGAGGTTATAATAGAATTCCAAGTATAACTTGGTCAACTTGTTAATAATATATATATACACACACGTTTGCGTGCACACATGTGTAAGTATTGTGTTTGATTTATTTGCAGTGGATACATGGCTCCTGAGTATGCTATGCATGGTTATTTGACGGAGAAAGTAGATGTTTACAGTTTTGGAATTGTTGTGTTGGAAATTGTTAGCGGAACCAACAACACTGTTGGTCATCCTCAGGAGGAATGCTTCTCCCTTCTTGATTGGGTAACCTATGTTCTTATGCTCTCCTTCATTCATGTCAATCTTGTTGTCAATGAGAATATCTGACATAGTTGTGGATGACGGAGTAATCACACCTTTATTTGAAACATTGAATTGTACATTAACAGGTGCACCTTTTGAAGGAAAAAGATGATCTAATGGAGCTTGTTGATAGGAGATTGGGAGAAGACTTCAAGAAAGAGGAGGTAACGACGATGATCAATGTGGCTCTTTTATGCACTAGTTTTTCTCCGTCGCTCAGGCCCTCCATGTCTTCGGTAGTAAGCATGCTTGAAGGAAGAACAGATGTTGAAGAAGTGGTTGCAGAATCAACTGAGGTATTGGATGATAAGAAATATAAGGTGATGCAACAATACTACAAACAGAGAGGAGAAAGTAGCACAAGTGAAGTTCAAAGCCGAAGCCGGAGCATCGCAACAGATGAATCTAATGCCTTTATTTATGATACAGATTCTTCATGCTGGGAACCAAGAAATTAGGAAAACTATACAGCTTGCATTATTTTATTTTGGCAAAATAGAGCTTGCATTAATCAATAAACATGTTTCTCTAAAAATGTAATTTTTTAAAGGAAAACCATAGAAATGTTCAAAAGGAAAACTAATCCATAAGTGTCAAACTATGTATGTATGTATGTGTATGGCACTATGGTGGTGAAAATAGAATTGAAAGTAAAATGATTTATGTTTGAATTCATTCATAAAAACAACAAATTCCTATTAATTCAGAAAGATAAGCATTTTATGTAACAATAAAGGAAGAAAATATGTCCATATGATCCATCATATCATTCTAAAGAGGCCCCCACTAGCACAAAGAGAAGAGATTCCTAAAGTCGTTGCCATTAACGTTGCCCTTCAGCCAATCAAGAGTGGGAGGTTGGCAATGAACATCAATAATGCACTTCATCTTAAGAGGATGAATAAGATGTTAAAGTGATTTTGAATGCTAAAGCTTAACCCTGATGAATGTGAAGATTTGGTTGTCACTTTACTAGAAATCATGACACTAGAAGATATGTTGGATATACAAGATTTTGTTTATTTCTTGTCATCCAAATAGAATTGATAGAATTGACCACCATCTACTCTGACACAATCAAAAACACGAAAGAAATAAAAAAAATACTAAACCTAAAACAAATCAAAAGTTTGGACGCGATAAATTTGTCAAATAAAACTGCAATCCACCAAAAAGAAGAAAAAAAACTCTGAATTATATTATAATGAAAGATAATCTTGATAGCCACGCCAAAAGTCTTTAAATATAGAAAACAAAGAAACCTTAATGAGCTTTTAATCCAAAACATAAATAAAATAAAATAAAATAAAACTCTAATAGACTTTTAATAAAAAAATAGAAATAAAATAGAAAATTTCAAAAAATATTAAAATATTTTTTTTTGGGCCTGAAACAAATCCGGACGACTTAAAAAGTCTTCTTACATCAGTCTCTTCCACCTTCGAAGAACTCGACTCCGAGTTCTCTTCTTGATAAAGAGTCGCATCTACGTGATATTCATGAATGTCAGCAACATTGAAAGTATTGAATATATTTATGAAATTTGGGAGAGGTACAACATAAGCATTATCATGGATCTTTCGGGTCACTGTGAACAAGTCATACTTGTGTGGTTGCAGTTTGTTGTAAGTACCAACTGGAAACCTCTCCTTACTCAGAAACACCATCATATTATCTCCCATATAAAAAGATTTAACTTTTCGATGTTTATCTCGCATAGGAGATAAATTGTTTGGTAGCTCATTTGCGGTCAATTTCTTGAAATTCTCTAGGATCCCTAGCACTTCTTATGAAACTATGGTTTCCTCCTTTACAACACTCATCAGTCCTTTACTCACCACTTGACATAAAAAATCAGTTTCTTTAACAATCTCATCAAGCTCCCTTTCACTTTTTGTCATCATCAAGAAAATAGACTTCTTTCCTCCTTGATTCTTATCAAATTGCAAAACACGAGCCATAACAATTTTATGTGCGTCCCATGTAAATGTTATCATGTTATCATATCATCGATAAGTGATATGATTATCAAACTGCCAAGGTCTACCAAGTAAAACATGACAAACATCTATATCAAGAACATCATAAAGTACCTCTTCTCTGTAATGTTTTTTGATGGAGATAGGAACTCTGCAGGATAGTGACAACAGAGGGTGTATGGCTCCTCATGGGATTCTATGGACAACTTTAAATAATCGATAAATTTCTATGGCATTAGATTCTCCATGTTGTCACTATCCACAATCAGATTACACGTCTTGTTCTTGATTGAAAATTGTATTTTAAACAAATTCTTGCACTGTCCTTCATCTTTGAACGCTAGTAAAATTCTATGAAACAAAAAATTTACCCTATCATCAAATTATTCCTCTCCAAACTCAAGCCCTGCATATTCATCATTCTCAACTACATGTCTTAATTTTTCCTTTTCCTCTTCCTTTTCTTCTGCAACAACGACGACTTTCCTTGTTGGACAAACATTTGATACATGATCTCTTCCATTACAATGATAAAATGTGTCTCTCGTAGGTTTAAAATATGGATATTTTTACCTCTAGACTGGTGCTTTACCCTGTTGAATACCGTTAGGGCTGCTACTCCCATTATTCTCAAGGTTGGAATTATTGGTTGTTGCACTCTTTTCTTTGTCGCTTACTAATTCAAAGTTATTTTGGGGAGAATATCTAAAAGGTGAGAAATTTATAAGGAATTTATCCGTTAACTTTTCCTTCAAGTCTAGATTGGATGCCTCAGTAAACACTAATGCACCGAGCAACTTTATGGATCTCTGATTCTCCTAATTCATTGTGTTTAGAAAAATGCAGGAACTCAACTGTGTATTTTGTTACAGTTCTCTTTCCCTAAATACACTTAATATACATTTTATAAAGAATCTGCTCATAATCCTCGGGTAAAAACCTCTCCAACATTAATTATTTCATTCTTCGCCAAGATTTGACTGACCCTTTTCTTTGCCTCGGCTTCTGAACAACAAGCTTATCTCACCATACAATATTAATACTCTTCATCATGATCGCCTCCATCCTAACTTGCTTGTTCTCAGGTACGCCCATAATATCGAAGAATATGTCGACGCCAATCTTCCAATCAAGAGACTCCTCTACTCCCATTGTTCCATAAAATAATGAAATATTAGCCTTCACTCGATAATCATCTTATAAGGAAGTACTAGATCGAGTGTTTGCAAATTTAACCTTGTACGAGTGTTCTAATCCAACTTAGAATTTGAAGACCTATCCTAAAAGTCAATTGTAAAAGGAGTAGAAATTGACATTCATAGAGATCACTTCGGAAGAATGTTTGAGGTACTCTTCTATGGGGTATCCTATACATGTGACGGGCCAATCGAGTTTTAAAAAATTATAATTTTCCACTTCCATCATCTCTTTTGTTATAAATCCCATGGAGGATATGAAACTTCCTATCACAGCAAGCTATCTAAAGGCAAATATTTATGTGGCCCACTACCTGATTACAAGGATAGTCCACCCAAGGCAAGACAACCTTGGATTGGTAAATAATGAATATGTAGACATTTCGTGCTTACTAACCAGCAATTTCAAACAAACTGGGTTGATGGAATGCTTCAACATATGATATATTGTAAGCAAATCAATCAGAAGGTTTACCTTTACGTGGCTTTGATCACCAAGACATTATTAGTTGCTAGAGTGACACAACGGGATAATTAGTGGACATAACCCACACCAAGATCAACTACTCCTTGGTCAGTAGCATGAGGGTTCATATATTTTTGTGAGAATTGAGGAACAGATCGATGGATAAATATGAAGTTGTAACCCAACCAACTGTGGATAATACATATTTCAATACTCTTCTGGATATTTGTCAATAAAATTCTCTAGCCAAATTAAATGTTGTAAGAAAGTTATACTCCAACTTTGAGTTTGAACAATTATCCTATAAGTCAATTGTAAAAAGAATAGAAATTGACATTCATAGAGATCAATTTGGAAGAACATTTGAGCTACTCTTCTGTGGGGTATCCTATACCTATGATGGGCCAATCAAGTTTTAAAAATTATAATTTTCCACTGCCATCATCTCTTTTGTTATAAATTCCATGGAGGATAGGAAATTTCCTATCAAAGCAAGATATCTAAAGGCAAAGATTCGTCTGGCCCACAACCTAATTACAAGGATACTCCTCCCAAGGAAAGACAACCTTGGAGCGGTCATTAATGAAGATGTAGTCCCTTCGTGCTTACTAACCCAACAATTTCAAACAAACTGGGTTGATGGAATGATTCAACATATGATCTATTGTAAGCATAATCGATCAACATGTTTACCATATGCAGCTTTGATCACAAAGATATTAGTTATTGCTGGAGTGACACCATGGGATAATCAGTGGATGCAATCCACACCAAAATCAGCTACTCCTCGCTCAGTAGTATGAGGGTTCATATATTTTCGAGAGAATTGAGGAACAAATCGATGTATCAAGACAAAGTTTTAACCCAACCAACCGTGGATAATACATCTTTCAATACTCTTCTGAATATTTGTCAACAAAATTCTCTAACCAATCAAAATTTAGCAAAATACATAGAGGTCATCAACAATAACACCTCAAGATATGATGATAAAAATGGAAATGAGTAGTCTCACTTATGTGTTTTAGCTTTAATATCTAACTGTGTTTAACTTTTCCAACTTTCTATTATTATTTCATATTCCCGCAATTTTCTATTTTTTGTAATTTTAATTCTAACTTTTAAATTAATAAAGTAATGTTTTTCTTCCTTAAAAAACAATGCTTGACCTATTTGAACAATGTGCTTGCATATTTACTTTGTTGTCTTTCATTTTTATGTGTCTTTTTTATTATGATAAATAGGGAGAAATATGCGAGTACAACTTCATCATTAAGTTCTTAACATTTTTATGAAGAAATATTAAAACAAACCTAATATTTTTATGATTAACAAAACAAAAGAAATTAATATTAGAAACTTAATTCTAAATGTTTTTTTTTTATTTTCTTATGTAAAGAAATAAAATCTTAATTCTAAAATATCTATTGTCATCACGTAAAGAGATAAAAAAATCAAAACAAACATAAAAATAATATCAAAATGAAAAGACATGGGGTGAAAGCTGGAATCCTGCGGTGCACTGCAAGAAAAAAAATTAGAATGGCAATAAGCCCATCAAAAATAAATCCAATAGCAGTTTTTGTATTCAACATCAGATTACCAAAAAATGCCATTGGACTTAGGCAAGTGTGGTTCGGCCCAATGCTCATCCAACATCCAGTTCATTCTCTTTATTTCAGAATTATTTACTAACTATTATTAGAAATAATTAAAAAAATTAAAATGAAGAAATTAACAAAATGAAAATGAAAATGGTGAATGTATGTTAAAGAGGGATTAGGGTTAAACGTGAAAACTCGTTGCCGTTCAGATTT